GAACCTCAGCTTATCCGAGCAGTGGTGGCCCGTTGGTGACCACCAAATTATCACCCCGCGGATGTGTGCTCAAGTCCAAGCACCAGCACTTGACTTTCCCCATCGTGCGTGTTGAATGGCAGCCCCATTCCTGAAAATTGTATCGTTGTATACTTAATAAAAGGAAGTAAGATGATAAGAACACAATATTGGCTAACAAGCCGTTGCAACACAATATATGTATAACCAGGGATTACGAAGGAAAGTAATTAAGATGTTCAACAGTTGCAGGTGGGTCAACTGAATTTGTTAGGAGTCAATACTCATTTGTTCGGATGTGGTATGATGTGTCTCTTGTCGGCCGCGGGAGCTTGAGTGCTTGCACGAATTGCTTTTGAGAGCACAAAGGAGAGGCTGTTCTGAAGGCGTGTGCTGACTGCCTCTGCTGTAGCTACACACGTGTTTAGATCATCGCACTCGAACCCAGTACGGAGGTCGGAACGTTTCGGTCAAGTTTTAGGGTGTGACAAAAAAGTACTTGTGATTGAGCTGATTAACCCACTTCTCAATCACGGCTATACTCGGCCAGACGCTTGGTCGTGCGGGCAGTATGCTTTGTTCCACGGGATCAAGTAAATTAGTAAACACAGAAAGAAGAAGCAGCAGAATCCTGTGTTCCATGTGTATTGCGATGGACGAATAGTGCTCAACTGGCCAAGGTCATCAAACTGTTGACCCGGAAGTATCGCGGTTCGAACTGCTCTCCAACGCTGCCCAGGTAGTAATCGTAGTAATAGTAGCAGTAGCACGCAATGAACACGAAATACGAACTACGCAATACGAATCACGGAATACGAATCATCGATTAGCAGTCACGGACAGCACGTAAACACTGGACCACACAGGCACTTGCATGCAACATCCCACGTAATCGAGACTCTCGAGGAAAAGGTCACAGGAGAAGTAGTTAGTTTATGAAAAGAAATAAGGGGGTGGCCGCACAGTTTCTGAATGGTTCGTATGATCAACCTATGGCATGTAGTCCAAAAACTGTGGCACGCACACGCCTTGCTGACATCACTCGTGAAGCTTGGTTGATCAAAGTTGTCCTAAAACCGTAACGCGTCGCTCCAGGGTGTACTTCATCTCGCAGGCTGGGATCACCACACTTTTTTATGGCTGTGACCCCCTTCATAATAGTTGCTTGTGCATTTTTATATTTAATAAATAAAAACACGAGCTTGTTTGCCAATATTATATTCTCATCATAAATGAATGTCTATATTATACATACTACTATATATTCTATTACATCGATAATTCAGGTTCATCCTCACATGGTGTGCGATTCCCAGGTTACTATCAAAGACGTAAAGCACACTGATACTGTCTTTTGATAAATTCTTTTCCCGTTTAGCCTGTTACCACTGGTTACAACTCCCTCGATTATTTTTTCTTTTTCGTTAGCTCTGGTTCCATTGTGTAAGAGTTCCCTAATTAAAAAATTTTAAGCATTCAAATCCGAAATGTGGAACACTCAATGTTTACGGTCACAGTCCCCACCCCAGTAAGATTTCATCTATGGAGAACAAATACCGCTCGCAACAGTCCTGCAACATTTCTAATTCTAATTGAGCATCACAAATTTTACAGGAAATAGCAGTCTGATGTACATGATCAGAGCTTTTTTGCCTCCAAACGGACACTTTCTTATAGATTTGTAGCTAAACATAATTGTTCCAGTTGAAATAGTTGAGTATGGAGATATTTGAGTAACAAAATAGTGGATGATTCGTAATGGATTTATTATGCAACATCGGCGTGCCACACATCTCATGGGAAGCCCTGTGCGGATGTTCTCTGTCCGTCGGAAAGAGCTTACAGCGATTATTATCAGCCAGTAGTCCAGTTCGATCAACTGGATTGAGGGTCAACATGCATCAACTCATCCTCGATCTCTCGGTCTAATTCACAGTAGCCACATTGGAAAGACGTAAAAGCACCGCTAGATGGTGTAATCTTGACTATGGAAAACAAGCATTAAAATTTGTAGGATCAAGGATGAACAAATGTTGCATTGTCCTAATCGGGTACACCAGCGTGCATTCCGTTCTCATGTTGATGCAGTTCGATTTCAAGGTCACTCTTCCAAAAACAGATGAACGTTGCCACATACCATACGATTATCACTCCATATGGGACAGCAGAACCAAACTGAATAGTCATTTCGATCACCCTGACTTGGATTACATCAGACCACGTGATCTGATGAACTGCGAAGAATTCGAATCACATGTGTATCCCGTTCACAGAGCCAAATGCGCAACAAATTTGACATTCAGTCAACGCAAACCTGATAAAAGTTATATGTGGTATATGAAAATAAAATATCGATTACACTGTCGGATTCATTGTTGGTGATGAGAATCGATCAGTATAAGTCACCAGTGTATCAAATCTTTAATCATTTCTGAAGCTCTCCAATCACCCTTTATTTCCCATTGGGAGTATTTGACGGAATGTAGCCCAATCTGACAAGTTGGTGGTATTAAATATTAAATACGAAAACAAAATTGAAAGTTGTTTTTATTATTTTCAAATATTTCTCCCTCAATACGAATGGTTGCATATAATACTGAACGTTCAAGATTCTGGAAAAGAACGTTGGTGTTGGAGGGTTCTCCTAACTGACTGTGAAATGTCTGCAAATAACCTTCACAGATAGTAAAATTTTCTGACGCCAACTAAATTTCTGTTTCTATGACTTTATGATTTAGAATGAACGTGTATGAAGAGAAACTCATTTTAATTTGAAACTGCAGCTTGTAAGTTATTGACGGTTCGCAACAAAGCAGACAAAGTGGACAAGCATGGATCTATCAATCGTCCGCTGGGGCACACCATTTTATTGATGCAAATATTAGGACGGGATAACAAATGTTTATACCAGTTGTCACAAAAACTACTCTTCCAACTTCCAAATCTGAGGCAGGATATTCAGAAATTTTATATACCTCTTATGTGCAGCTCAAATATAGCACCAGTTTTTTTGACAACTCTTTTCAAAATTTAATTGATCGCGAAAGTGATTTTTGAAATTAACTGCACATGTCCGGTTCCGGTTTGAGCGGAAAATAAACAATGACTGAATAAGTTGATGTTCATCGAGGCAGATCTTACGTTGCACTTCAAATGGATACCAACTAAATTATTCATCTATCACGGATGCATACAAGACAAGTTTAGTTACTATCGATGAAGTTTAACTTGTTCCCATGATGCCTTACTGCTTACCGGCGATTCTTTCGAAACATCAGTGCTCAATCGTACCACTCAACGGTCAATCTAAAGATGAGATGCACGTTTTATCCGCAGTTATCCGTTCTTTCTTCATATACGACTGTAAAGACTGTCGACAATTAGAATTATTCGATCACTGATGCCTAAGAATCATTCTCGAGATTTGATCAAGGGATCAGTTCTCAAATGAAGCGGTCAGAAACCGGTGTTTTAATCCTATTTGACTATGGACGCTAATACAACGGTGACGACTACACAGATTTGGTCACGCACTTCTGACAACGATCTGACCAAAGCTATATTGGCACTGAACTGACGCTGTGGGTAGCTGAAAACCTGGCTAGACGCAGTACTCAAGGACACAGAAAACCCGCGTCTCCGCTCCCTCCAAGGCAATCGTCAATAGAAGTCAAGTAGGATCACGATCTGCGCTGATCTTACCACAGGCCGCCAAGTGTGTGCAGCGGCAATTCGGGATATCCATGAAGCCGGTTTGTCCTTTCCCAGGAGCCAACTGCCGTAAAGTGCAATAAAGTGAGATGCGTTCACACCCTGGCAGAAGAGTGAATCGCACAATGAAGTGGGTTTATTTGCTTTGAGCTCCTTTATCAAGTCCAGTCACACTTATTCATTTGCAGGAGAAGTCACTTCTGGGTGACGGTAAATCGGCCCTATCCAGGAATCTATGGGCATATAATCTAAACTGATAGTCTTAATGCCACTGTTATTTATTTGGACTCTGCACTTTCCGCCCTTGTAGGGAAAAGTGCGATCTGTAAGACATAATGGTGGTGACGGTGATTGTATTCGGTGATGGTGAACCGGACTAATGCACACCACAATGCTTTATTCACATAGTTGGGGCTTGTTTTGCAGATAGATAGGTGGCCCTACGCGTTGCACCTTCAAAATCCGTCGATCTTACCGGACACCTGGATCAATCTGACAACCGAAGACGCCCTGGCCCCAGATGAAGGCTGATCCTTGCACTCTAGTGAATTGAAACCCATTGCAAACCCTAGTCAGGTCCTCTTGAGCGCGTACGTTTTATCAGTTGGAAGGCCGTCGGATCAGGTCTGTCGGGCAGTGGTGGTCAAGTGGTTGAGATCTTCAAAACAGCGATCTGGAAGTCTCGAGTTCGAATCTCACGACCATCGCCCATCCACTTTATTTCAACATTTCCGTAGGCAGCCTATTTGGTCGCAGTTCCAGTCCTGAAAACAGACTAGAAATTTGTATGCTCACTGAATAAAGATGAAGGAAC